TGTAAGGATGTACGTCTGTACCTGTGTGTGTTCAGTCTCCACCTGTATCTACCTGTATCTACCTGTATTTATGTACATGTCATCAATGTACTTCACACCTCTGTTTAATCATCACTAAAGTCTTGTTAGCTTGATCACACAAACCAGCTACAGTTACAGGATCACAGAGTCCTTTGTTAGTCCTACTATATAACATTGTGTCTTTAAAAATTAAAAGAAAATTGATCACGGGTCGACCACATGACCCTGACTATGCAGGTATCAGTTGTGGGAAGTTAGACTTTCCTACCTCTTTAAATTATCAACAAAACCCCTCCTACACGGCGGCTCATCGTCTATTTATAGTCCCTGGGTATCATCGTGAATGTGTGACACATAGCTGATTGTAATTAGACCACCCGTTTTTGTGTGTAGGGTACCAAGTGTTGTAACAACACATATAACCGATGCATTAAGATGAGCTTGGCTTGGATGTTCCCTGATCCATTTAAATGAACTCATTTACTTACTACAGAAGATCTTAACCTTCTAAGGAAATATTATGAGAATGTTGAAACCCTATCACATCACAGACTTGTGATGTCTTTGTCTGGTCTCTCATACTTTATATACGGCCTGCTATCTTTCATCACTCAGCCAGAAACTAAATAGCCACCTCCAAATAATGGACTGGGTATCACATATCTGTAAAATAGTGTAAAAAGATGACTTAATGACGGGCTACACAATGACATTCCGTTTCCTCCAGGTTACGAGGTACATTTAATGTTTTGTGTACCTGGAGATTTTTATTAACCTCCTACAAATTCAATCGGATGTGTCAGAGGAATTGGAGAAAGGTTAAACCAGGACGCTGTGTTATGTTGGTCTCTGATACATACCATTGATGCAATGGAGAAGTCACTAGTTCTGTTGTACCACCAAGGAAACATTGATCTTTTTCAGAATATATGTTGACTATCTTTTTATCAATGCAATAAAAAGGATGGTTTGGTTCTTAAACACAATCTAATTTCAATAATTGGGTAATTATTTACGCACAGTACCGACGGTTTTGTCACTATTATGAATTTGAAAAAAAATAATATGATTTAAACCTCTTGAAATTGATGCCATTGTTTATATGGAATTTTCTATGAGTCAGTTTTTGAGTGGGACGTAATACCTGATTGTAATTGTCTGATTGTAATTGTCTGTGACCGGTATTGTGTGGGTTATGTTATAATGCCATTGTCTGTGACCGGTATTGTGTGGGTTATGTTATAATGCCATTGTCTGCAACCATCTGTTGAAAGATCTGCACAAAACGAATTATTCTATGAATTTTGAAATGATAAATTGATGAATGATTCAACAAGTACTTGTCAAACATGGGAATACCTTGTCAGATAACTATGAATGTGGTGAGTCAGATGTTAACCTGAGGATACGCGTGTTGACACACTTCAAGTGTTAAAAACATTCCTTCAACTAAGTAAGCAATGCTAAAATCCATTTTGATTTCTTTTCATATTAAATTCCGGATCCCTGTATTTATTTATGTTTTAACTATGAGGAACATGTCCTTTGTTTAAAGTTATGGTTTTGGCAATCCAGGGGTTATGTGTGACATTTTGTGGTCGTAAATTGTTGAGATATTTCTGAAACCCAGCACTCATGTCAGGTCTGTGTGTAATGAATTAGTATGAGTCAGGTCTGATGTAATTATTACATGTTGTACAGCCTAGGTGGTATTGTACAGGGAGATAAAGCCTAGGTGCTATCATACATGGAGACTTGTTCATCAGGTCTGACCTTTCATGACCTTGTCTGTTCCCATTCCATCCATCAAATCAGCTCTAACGTATGTAATTTGTTCATCAACAAGTTAAAATGTTGGTTTTCTGCTATGGAATATAAACCTGTATCTACTACAATAGTAACAGATACCTGTATCTACTACAATAGTAACAGATACCTGTATCTACTACAATAGTAACAGATACCTGTGTCTACTACAATAGTAACAAATACCTGTATCTACTACAATAGTAACAGATACCTGTATCTACTACTTTAGTAACAGAAACCTGTATCTACTACAATAGTAACAGAAACCTGTATCTACTATAATAATAACAAATACCTGTATCTACTACAATAGTAACAGATACATGTGTCTACTACAATAGTAACAAATACCTGTATCGACTACAATAGCAACAGATACCTGTGTCTACTACAATAGTAACAGATACCTGTATCTACTACAATAGCAACAGATACATGTGTCTACTACAATAATAACAAATACCTGTATCTACTACAATAGTAACAAATACCTGTGTCTACTACAATAGTAACAGATACCTGTGTCTACTACAATATAAATAGATACCTGTATCTACTACAATAGTAACAGATACCTGTATCTACTACAATATAAATAGATACCTGTGTCTACTACAATAGTAACAGAACCCTGTATCTACTAAAATAGTAACAGATACCTGTGTCTACTACAATAGTAACAGATACCTGTATCTACTACAATAGTAACAGATACCTGTATCTACTACAATAGTAACAGATACCTGTATCTACTACAATAGTAACAGATACCTGTATCTACTACAATAGTAACAGATACCTGTATCTACTACAATAGTAACAGATACCTGTATCTACTACAATAGTAACAGATACCTGTATCTACTACAATAGTAACAGATACCTGTATCTACTACAATAGTAACAGATACCTGTATCTACTACAATAGTAACAGATACCTGTATCTACTACAATAGTAACAGATACCTGTATCTACTACAATAGTAACAGATACCTGTATCTACTACAATAGTAACAGATACCTGTATCTACTACAATAGTAACAGATACCTGTATCTACTACAATAGTAACAGATACCTGTATCTACTACAATAGTAACAGATACCTGTATCTACTACAATAGTAACAGATACCTGTATCTACTACAATAGTAACAGATACCTGTATCTACTACAATAGTAACAGATACCTGTATCTACTACAATAGTAACAGATACCTGTATCTACTACAATAGTAACAGATACCTGTATCTACTACAATAGTAACAGATACCTGTATCTACTACAATAGTAACAGATACCTGTATCTACTACAATAGTAACAGATACCTGTATCTACTACAATAGTAACAGATACCTGTATCTACTACAATAGTAACAGATACCTGTATCTACTACAATAGTAACAGATACCTGTATCTACTACAATAGTAACAGATACCTGTATCTACTACAATAGTAACAGATACCTGTATCTACTACAATAGTAACAGATACCTGTATCTACTACAATAGTAACAGATACCTGTATCTACTACAATAGTAACAGATACCTGTATCTACTACAATAGTAACAGATACCTGTATCTACTACAATAGTAACAGATACCTGTATCTACTACAATAGTAACAGATACCTGTATCTACTACAATAGTAACAGATACCTGTATCTACTACAATAGTAACAGATACCTGTATCTACTACAATAGTAACAAATACCTGTATCTACTACAATAGTAATAAATACATGTATCTACTACAATAGTAACATATACCTGTATCTACTACAATAGTAACAAATACCTGGATCTACTACAATAGTAACAAAAACCTGTATCTACTACAATAGTAACAGAAACCTGTATCTACTACAATAGTAACAGATACCTGTATCTACTACAATAGTAACAGATACCTGTATCTACTACAATAGTAACAGATACCTGTATCTACTACAATAGTAACAGATACCTGTATCTACTACAATAGTAACAGATACCTGTATCTACTACAATAGTAACAGATACCTGTATCTACTACAATAGTAACAGATACCTGTATCTACTACAATAGTAACAGATACCTGTATCTACTACAATAGTAACAGATACCTGTATCTACTACAATAGTAACAAATACCTGTATCTACTACAATAGTAACAGATACCTGTATCTACTACAAAAGTAACAGATACATGTATCTACTACAAAAGTAACAGAAACCTGTATCTACTACAATAGTAACAGAAACCTGTATCTACTATAATAATAACAAATACCTGTATCTACTACAATAGTAACAAAGACCTGTATCTACTATAATAATAACAAATACCTGTATCTACTACAATAGTAACAAATATCTGTATCTACTGCAATAGTAACAAATGTATGTAAATACTGCAGTAGTAACAAAAACCTGTATCTACTACAATAATAACAGATACCTGTGTCTACTACAATAGTAACAAATACCTGTATCTATTACAATAGTAACAAATACATGTATCTACTACAATAGTAACAAATATATATATCTACTACAGTAGCTTACACGTGTATTTGCAGTAATAACAAGTACATTTATCTTTTGCTACGGTAAGAAATAAATGTATCTATTGCTACGGTAACAAATACATGTATCTATTGCTACGATAACAAATACATGTATCTAATGGTACAGTAACAAATACATGTATCTAATGGTACAGTAACAAATACATGTATCTACTGCAGTAGTGACAAATACATGTATCTATTGCTCTGGTAACAAAAATATCTACTGCTTCATTAACAAATAAATGTTTCCAATAGTATGGTTATATAGTTTAATTAATTACTGCCACATGTAATATTTGCGTCCTGCTGGGGGTCTTCGGCAGTATGTTTCAGTGAGGTGGCACTATAAAGTCGGCATCAGTTCCGCGCTATTACAAGAAGACAAACACAAACATATTGCAGCCTCCCAAAATACACACACATACACTACACGCATGCATCTTGCACACAGGGGAGGCCGTCCTTAAATGACCTTAGCTGTTAATAGGACGTTAAACAAAATCAAACAAACAAACAAACAAAATTTGCTTACTGTGTACTGTTTAAACAGATGTAACTTGTATTTACGGAATGCAATGTTGTAATGACAACAATCGTTTGTTTACAGAGTGTATGCTCCCAAATGTGCAGCATGTGGCCAGGCAATAACACCTGTTGAGGTAAGACTTTAATTGATGTACTTCTTTATGTGTAATGGTGTTATGTATTGAATGTCTGAAGTAACGATGCATGAAGATACTGGGTTATTACCATAACAATACAAACATTGAAACAGTGACGCTTGGATTAAAATAAAATCGGAATGGAATGCTATGATATATTTTGTTCACTTAAAATCAGCGAAATGACATGTTTGCAAAAGAATATAGATTATATGTAATAAAAGTTTTCTTTTTAACAAAAGTAACATTCATAAGGAGAAATCGAACCAGTGCAAGTGTAGCAGGGAGATATCTACTGCCTTACTAGTGTTAGGTGAAATGTTGATAAAAGTATACTGATGGCACAATTCCATGACGATGACAGTGCACTGGACTGTTTGTTTGGTCTTTCATGAGAACTTGTATGTAAAATGTGTGATCTTAAATATCCTGTAATTGATGTTTATATGACCGGTAACATTAGTCATCATTGCCTTGCTGTCTCATTATAGTATTGTGCTGGAGACGTTTACAACATATTCATTATAGCTATCCCACATTAACTAAACATTCATGTGACATTAAACTTTTAATAGGACCATTTTTTTCTGTGTTATTGTCAGGGCAAGACATAAATGTGCAGAAAAAGGACTGTTTGATCTACCTTTAATAGTACAATATACAATGTATTACAACAATGATGATCATTCTACTTCAGTGAGGATGTAACCAGGCTCTGTATAATTCAATAGTCTTCATCTTGAAAGAGCACTTTAATATTTAGGACACTTAAAAGGGAGATAACATATCACATTGCTTGTAACCTGGGATGATAATGTTTAACTTGTGTGTGAATTGGAAGTAAAGATACCATATAATTTCATAAGGGGAAATAATATCAATTCATGTGTATGCAAAAAATGTAATTGCAAAATGTGTGTGTAATAAGGGCAAATGAAAAATATGTGTAACAAGGGGAGATAACTGATGTATGTTACAGGGAACAGAGGAGACAGTGCGGGTTGTGTCCATGGACAAAGATTTCCATGTCGACTGTTACCACTGTGAGGTAAGATTCTATTACAAGGCCAAAAAATAAGTTGTAGTGTTTGTGCCAGAATGACTCTTGGCGATGTTCTAGCTACATGGACATTGAGTCTTGATGTTATAGTGTTGACACAGACATAACTGGGGCAAAAGGTTTAGTATATCTGTGCAAATCTTCATGTATTCTTCACTGGTACTAGAGCAAAACAAATGAAAATCTTATTTGAGGTTCGCAATTCCTTCCAAGTGCAGGCAGGGACTGTCAAAAATGCGCATTTGTGTAATTTTCTGAGTATTTATGTTCAAAGTATACCTGCTTCCAGTACTGATAATTACCTCTTTGTACACATTACTAGTAGCCAACCTACCTCCATCTGTAAATAGTAGTGTATTTGTCCCATTTTACCTCTACACATTTTTTATTTGTATCCTAGAATTACGTAACATATTTTTTCCATATTCTATCATTACCATCAGCTCTCCTGTACTGTACATATTCCCGTATTATAGAGTACCTACTTTGGAGTATTTGACCTTGCTCACCTGTAACGAGTATTTGTGCCCTGAACACTTGATGACCTTGCATGTGCTGGGAGAATTCTGCCGGTACACCACCTTTTGGTTCCGATGTTGATTTTGTTTTGTTTTGCTTCCACAGACAAAGTAATCGAAGGCTGATAGTTGTTATGACAGTAAGCTGGTTTTGTGATGTACCTTTAGCCTTTTTTGTTTGTGCAAGCTTCAGTTACTTTATATTCATTTTGCGATTTTATTACTCCGATCAAAACCTTTTAATTAACCAGGCATGGGATTTGACAATTTTTGTAATCTAGTTTTACTCGAAATTGTAGACATGAAACCTGTTTCTGTAATATTATGACTGAACAGTTTATAATGTACTGGTAATATTTATAACTTGAAATTTAAAATTACGTAATATTCATAACATGTCATACTGCAATATTTAACAATAAATCAACTTAAAGAGAATTCCTTGAAAGAAAAAAGAGATTTGAATAATAACATTTTTTTTTTTTTTAAATATTAAAGCAGTTAGTTATTTGTATTATTTGATCAGTATGACATGGTATTCCAGCCCGACAAACTGCACCTTTAACAATAAAAAAACTGAGTAATAGTAATATATATATATATAGTAACAGTGATTTTGGAGAATGACGCTGTTGATTTGTGTTAGCTGAAGGTACTCGGTGTTGTAGTGTGTTACAGTATGTTGGTGGTTTGGGTGTGACGGGTAAAACGGTGGTACCTGCTGAACATATATTGTATATCCTATATATAGCATACTATTTTGTTTATTTTATTGATTTTCAGTTTTATTTGTACCTATACCCTATATTCCCAGTATCATATTTAATACCTTATCAATCTTTTAATTGATTTTGTTTTCATTTTGTTCCCCACATTTCTATTGTAAACGTGTAATCCCCCTGTAGACCTTTACACCATTATTCCTGTCCTTTACACCATTATTCCTGTCCTTTACACCATTATTCCTGTCCTTTACACCATTATTCCTGTAGTACCAGAATTCATGAACTGGGTATTGATTATTATAGCTCCTTTCAATGGACAAAATTACTAGCGATACACTTGTGGAACAAGATGATTGGCAATGCACTGCTGTGATTTTGCAGTCGATAACCTTAAAAATAAGATTAAGGGCTTGGTGCCAGTTCATGCTGAAACTCTCTCTATATATATAACTTGCTATCTTCATCATGTTTGTCGGACCTCCCTATTTTACACAGGCGACCTGTGAGATTGTTCAGCCACATTTTGACTTCAGATATCAGCTGGATTTTCTAAAGCTTACTATTCGCTCCAATTTAATTAGTACATTGCATAGAGCAGCTTAAATCCTCTTTAGACATTTTTAGATACATGTACTGCCAATTTGCCATGCAGTATCTCCTGTCTTCAAATGATCAAACTATTACTTTGTGTCCTGGTGATTAAAATAAAACTATACACCTCCATACTTATAATATCACAGCTTCAGCTTAATGCAGTTTTCATCAACAAACACTAAAGCTTTGTAACTAAACCATTGTTAAAAATTCAGTTTGTCCCTCCAGAGTTCATCAGTGTTCCACGCAAATTTGGGATCTAGGTGAATTTTCAGGAATCTGTACCTCCAGGTACATAGTTATTTGAGAAAGTCCTTGAAAATGGGGGTTCAACCAACTGTTTTGGAGATAAAAAAAACTCCATCCATTTTAGGGGCATTAGGGAATATTGATCTATCATCAATTAAGACACATTAGATCACAAGGTCAGTCTTAATCATGCATGGAAGTACACAGCCATAACCTCTCACTAGGTTTGAACTTTAACTCATTCACCCCTGAGGACACATTTGAACTCTTCCAAATCAAGGGTTGGAATAGTTGATTATAAAACTTCAGGGGTTAATGAGTTAAGAATGTTCAAATGCTTAAAAAATGCATCTTAACAACATGGACAAGTTTGGACTGAACATAGTTTATACATAGACAGCAACAGAGCATCAGACTGTATTGAACACCAGAAATGTTAATGCATGTAGTTGGGGTGTGATGGTCCCTAGGTAACGTAACACACTGCCACCCTACTATAAATAACCTGTTTGCTGTGCACCTCATCAATGCATGAGTACCATACACTCTGCTAAGCTTTGAGCATCTATACCAACATATAAGATATTTCTAAACTTAAAAAAATCCCATTGATAGTGACCTACAATTTTTTACAAACAAAGTGTTACAAACTCTTCTGAGATGATTTAGATTAAAAATGGATATCTGTTAGTAAATGAAGGTTATAGCTATGAGAATATAATTTTACATTGATCATTAATGATACCCTAGCAACAGGTATATGTAATAATCTCCCTATAACAGTATAGTGCGCTGCTCTGTATATCAGATGTACTAAGACTTTGTGTTTTACAGGACTGTGGTATCCAGCTGACCGATGAACCAGACAAGCGATGCTACCCCCTGGAGGATCACCTGTTCTGTCACCTGTGTCACATACAGAGGCTATCCCAGCAGTACCCTGACGAAACCTTCTACATAGACCCATATACACACAACATACAAAACAAACTGTACCGCGACGCGAGCGGAAAACAACGCGACAGCATTGCCATCATGCCTGCATCCCTGGAGTCGTATCCCCATCCCCAGGGGCCCCAGTCAGAATCTTCGTTTTCACAGGAGCAGGAACCACAGCTAGCTCCTAGAGACATATATGGGCAGGGCCAGCCTCCTGTCATGTCGGGGCGTAACAGTGGCCCGCCAACCCCAACCCACAAGCCCACACAAAATGGTGTGGTAGGGGTAGGGTATATAGACTATGGTGGCAATCAGTATCGGGGCTCAAGTCCGTATCCACAACAACCTGCTCCACAGGTTCCTCCAGCCAAGCATGCTGCAACGCGTTATCAGATCACCGACTTATAGCTCTACACATCCTCATCCATCTCAAAGTCATCTGTTTGATCCTTGGTTACTGTTGTAATCATTGACCATCAGCGATGTCGATATCCTTATTGAATTGTAATCATTGACCATCAGCGATGTCGATATCCTTATTTAATTGTAATCATTGACCATTCACAGAATACCATGAACTTGTGCGTTATGTCACTCAGAAGAACCTTAAGCTTCATCACACCGTAACTAGTTCCAATCCAGCGGACTTTAGAAGTCACGTATGGCTCACTAAACTAAGCTGTGCTGTAATTTAGCAGGCCGCCAAATATTCTTTCTAAATGCTACATCAAAAGGAAAATACAATGAGTAGTATTTCCAAGAAAGCCCATATAACGAACGAGTAAAAATAAAGAATACTTGTGTAATAATGCTACTCTATTTATACAACTCTGATATTTAGTGCTACTACACTTAATGTTTTTTTTAAATGCTGTAAATAATTAATTTTGTGCAGTTTTGCTATAATCATGACGACGAAGGCAGCTGTGAGGAGTTTTTAGACCTTGTTTAAAATATGGAATTGCTCGCTTTAGAAATGATTACATAATATAGTGTTCAAAGCATTTCATGTTCTTTTCTATTAATATTCCTGCTTTATGACAGCAATCCTGAAGCTTTAGTACCTCCAAAAATATTAATCAGCTTTCAGAAAACTTACCAGCATTATCTGTTGTAAGACAGTTTCTAAATCACCTCTTTTTACAAAAGATGTCTCAATTTTTGCTGTTGAAAAATTGATAAATGCTACTTAAGAAAGATGAAAAATATAAAATATTGCATTATAAGCATTTATTTTCTTATCACAAGTATTATAAACTGTTTTGCTCATGAATGTTAACAACATTTTTGGAAATATAACCTGTCATATTTGATCTGTCCTTTTTATGCTATTTTTCTAACATTTTATCACTTGTTTGTCAGGGTAAGCCTACTGTATTGATTCTGTCAGTGATGAAACACAGAGTTTACAGTCTGTTTTGAATTTAATTGCAATACTTCAACAATTATACATACATGTATTAAAATGTGCCAGGGTTTGTAATTCAAGCATAGCCACCAAGATCATACTAAGTCTAGTGCTTTAAGGGGTACAATGAAGGTTTCAGAAGATTTACATCTCCCCTGTAAATATGTATATTTCTCTCCTATACCAACAGTAATTGTAGTGTATTTTTTGTATTTTGTGTCCAGACTTTTTAAAGCAAGGGGAAACATATTTGATTGAATGTCTAGTTTTCTGCGTAAAGTCTTTAAATAACTTTTTATCAGTATCTAAGACAAACTTGTTTAATTTTCATAAAATTCATTATGAATATCAGTATCTCAGGTCAATTATCTACATTGCTAGAAGAAAAGAGGTCCTACTTCCATTTTATGCAGCAGAATACATAAAGTGGAAGGGGCAGAAATCAGTTTATTTTATCCCCACAGCAAATATGTTCAGTAAGGGGTACTTAATGGCAGAGGGGCACCTGTTACATGTAAGCTCACCAGTTATAGCTGGGCAGTATGAATTTTAGAAATATTACTTAATAGTTACTATAACATTTTAGTGTGTACTTTTGAGAAGCAAAAAACTAGACTAAGATATTGCATAATATATAAAAGGAAATACCTGTTTATAGTTCAGTTATGTTAGATATTTTAAAGGACATCAAAAACATCTGTTTGTTAATTAATTGTTTTCATTATAAAAATTGGAATATTGTCTGTATCTTGGCAATAATGAACTTATTTTTCAACATGATGTACAAAAATGATGGATTTAATTCACTGCTAGATCTGAGGTAATAATTAAGTGTTCTATAGATTGTGAACTGGTGATTGTTATACTTAAGGAGTTTTGTAGAAATATTGAGATGGAATACACACAAGCATGGGTGTAACTTTAAAATGTTTAATTCTTTTAAGTCCTACTCCTTTTGTGTGTGTTGAAAACCCCCCTCAACTTTGATTTGAAATCAGTTATTGTAAGTAATAATTCTACAGCATGTAGACCTCTGTCCTCCTCACATCTGAAGACCGGAGTATTAAACCTGGGCTAGTAATAGATATTGATGACGAATACAAAGCTAAGGGTGAACATGTGGCTGTTGGTTAGTTTATATAAACCTTTTCACATGCTATAAACATAGGAAACTATCAGCATTTAATAGCTCTATAGACTGTGCAAGCTTAATAAGCTATAACCTGATGCAGTGGCAAAGTGCAGTAATAATGTTGTTTTTTTTAATCTGTAGATGTTTGTTAGCTTGTTTCAATATCTGTCCAATGTTTTGTTTTAAGTTTATGATTTGTGGATGCTTGGTCTTCCAACATGGATATGTGTTTTGTATAGGATATTCTGTTCTATATTTAATGGTTTTGTTTGTTGTTATTCATTTTGAATCTGTCTCTATCATGTTTTTTACAAGCCACTCACGTGTTATGATTTGTTCCCCACCCCTCTCCCTTCCTGGTCCACTGTATCTAAGTTGACCTTCATCTTTCCAAATACTGACTTTGATTTTCCTCCCCAAAACTAAGTTCTAAATTTCTGTAAGTTCTAACTGCAACACACTGCTCCCCTTCAAATTTCTCTTGTCAGTCACAGCCTTAGATACAACTCTATTTGGAAAAAACAAAAATAAAAAAATAGTGTTCAATCCTGATTATTCACTTGCTTTTCCTAATGGATATCTGAAGCAGGGAGATTTCCAAATTAGAATTTGTTAAAAAATAGAAATGCTAGCAAAAGTTAGTTTCATAATACAATGTAACAGGTTGGTATTTAGTTGGACACCACATACCATGAGCATCCCTGCCATTAAAGTTCTGGGTAAAAGAAGATGATTTTCACATGTATACACGAAACTGTAGAATTAAAGTTAAAGGGTATTTTGAGTTCATTAGTTTCCCTTGAAAACTTTTGCAAATTTATCCCTCTCTAAGTTACCAATAGATATTGTAACCAGTGTTCATAGTCCCATTAAAAGCATTCACTGCCATTGGCTTTCACATGAACCTTCAAACACTGCCAGCGGGGTACACACACCCCATGCAATGACATTCATGCATACAGACCCATGCACTCTCATACAATGACATTCATGCATACAGACCCATGCACTCTCATACAATGACATTCATGCATACAGACCCATGAACCCTAACACTCTGCCATCAGCATTCCCACAAGATACATGAACCTACGGTATGCCATTAACTCTCACAGACACATGAACCTCCATACATTGACATTTACATATATATATAGATCAATGAACCCTCGATCTCTGCCAATTGGCATTGACACACTCATAACCCCCATACATTAACATTCGCATAGCTCAATGAACCCTCACTCTCTGCCATTGGCATTAACACAGACACATGAACCCCACACACACACTGTCGTTAATGAGATGTAGCAGAGGGTTATCATATCTTTGCATGTTAGCTATCATATACACAACTGCAGTAGTATTTATATATTATTTACATGTTAAGTTGCTTGTGTGTGTATCACAGTCTTTTATGCAATTTTTATAGACATGTCTTTATCTCCCCATCTACCTGGCACAACTTTTATGTTAGAAATAAATGCAGCATGTCAATTTTTTTACTTATTAAAATAGCAATCAACATTTCAGATGATTTTTATTGAAAGGCAATATATATATATATATATACACATTACAGTTGATGTAATCAGACTTTACTATCATTTCTACCTGTTTATACACAGCCTTGTTCATTCAAATTCCTATACCGTACTCCAGACTCCTGTTCTGGAAAATTTATTTCTGGACATTTATTTGAATGATTTTCAATCACCATGTTTGTTAAACGAATTCTGCATTTCACCTGAGTGTTTCTTTTTTCTGGATAATAGATTTGCCAAGATTTGTTCTCCTTTTTTTCTGTAAATGAGGTCCCATTTACCCCTCCTGCTTACCCATAGTGAGTTTTAGTGTAGTGTTGTACTATTCTGTGTGTCTATATGAGTGGTGTGTACACATTGATGCAGGGTGATGACCCAACTGTCAGTATTAGATTCTCATCCTAGATTGGGGGTCATTGATATCATCGGAGTTGTCGAGATCTGAAAATGTTTGTTATCCAAACAGTTTTAATGACATGTTTGATCGTATACAGATGTGTTCTAAAGAACATTGTTTAATTATTGGTTATTTGTTTGCTTTGTTTATAAGTGCTTGTTGTTGTACCTTTTGTATGTGTGACCGAGAGATACAGTTTAACACTTGTCATACAGACCTGTATGTGACTGGATACGATTTAGCGCAGTCATACAGACTGTATGTGTGACCGACAGATACAGTTCAACGCTGTCATACAGACCTGTAGTTTAACTCTGTTATACAGACATGTAGTTTAACGCTGTCATACAGACATGTAGTTTAACGCTGTCATACATACCTGTAGTTTAACTCTGTCATACAGACCTGTAGTTTAACTCTGTCATACAGACCTGTAGTTTAACGCTGTCATACAGACCTGTAGTTTAACTCTGTCATACAGACATGTAGTTTAACGCTGTCATACAGACCTGTAGTTTAACTCTGTCATACAGACATGTATCTGTGATTGTTTGGTTAACACTGTTCCTAGAGATATTATGTAGAAAGATTATAATTCTGTGGGAAGTTTTTATTTATATAAACGTATATTATATTGAGAATGAAAATACTGATGTGAAAAGAAAGAGATGTGTGGGTTACGTTTTAGTTTAAGGCATGTTGTCATTGTACATTATCTAATTGTTAATTATGTTGTTTATAGAAGAAGTAAAAGCATTGGAATGTTTCTGCTTTTACTGAATGAATACAACTATTATTTATGTGATATATCGCTAGGTTTCATCTGAGAAAAGTCTTGTAGTCAGTCCTAAAGTTAAGTTTCCATGTGTTCTTACTAGGCCTGCTCCTATACGATGTGATCTGACTTCACAGGGACACTAATTGTCTCCATACAGTCTAAATGTTTAAAAATATAAGAGCTCACAATAAGGAAATAAAGCTGATAGCTTTCCCTGCTGATTTTGGACCTGGTTCCTAGTATCGGTCTCTCTTGTAATTGTGGAAGCCTGTCAGCATAGCACTGTTTTATGTTGAGTGTAATTGTTGAGTTGGGTAGAAGACTGAGACGGGCATGGCCAGGATTGTCCGGGAGACGGGGCACATGTAGTGTAAGTCCCGGTACATGTGGTGCTATCTGTTTACATAAGGACCTACACTACAGCCCTAGCAACTCAGGATCCAAACTTTATCATTGTGATCACCATGGAAACAATACAGATATTTTATCATATCTCTCAAAAATACTGAGAATTTAAAATAATATGGTTGTGCTAGTTTTTTTGCAAGTTAGTTTGCAGATTCTTGTTACATTTTTTTTTGAGGCTGCATTTAATATGTTTCTTTATTTTTGTCACTTAATTTTTTTCAAAAGTAAAATTCAATATTTACCGCCTCCCAAACATTCCTGTACTTTACCTTTTCCACGTGTAGGCAAAACAAATATTAATTTCTGAAATGGAACTGAAATTGGAAAAGACTGAAGGCTAGAAGTGTTGGTCATGTTAATTGAATATATATGTTCCTGATGTGTTCAGAACTAAACTTTTGATAGTATTCTTCATAATTTGTGTAGAATGCATTCAAAGAAACTGGGTGTGAATAATGTTTTGTATCTTTTGGTCAATCACCAATTTTCGATAAGGATATTTTCTGTTTATTCGGCCAAATATTTCAACACACAGCTACCGAGTGGTAAGAAACAGTAATTATATTGTGTGATTGAATGAGTTATTACTTAACTAGGAGCTAAAATTAGTCACAGCTAGTATCTTTGGGTGCCTGCCACCTCATTGATTTTCCCCATTTTCTGTGTTAAATGTGCCTAAAGTGTGTTTGTACAAACGTGTTTGTTACAGCTAGCCTGACATGTGGGCTGCTTCATTTAGCTTTATTTATGAAATATGAATTCACCAATATGAAGGGTAGATATTTTGCTGAAGATGAATAAAAAGCAGAAAATATTTTTGTATTTTAGTTTTTGTTGTTTTTAAGTTGTAGAAGAGTTCTCAGAATATACATGATAGTACATGTAAATGTTTGTATAACTGCAGATTAAACACATAGACAAATATATCCTCCTTCAATCTTGCTCTTCAGCAGCTTGGGTTAAATCATCTGATCAGTTTGTCCTGTACCCCTTTTTCATCAGTCAGGTGCATGGCTGATCTATTGATAGGTCAGTATGGCTTTTTAGATCACCTGAGTCAGTCAGATTTTGATGCAAGTTGGTCTGAGGTTGGGATCAGAATCTATACTGGAGATGGGGCAGGACAATAAGGAGTCGCAGAATGCAAATTCTTCAACAGATTCACAAACCTGAAACAATCATATTTTCTTCTTTCCAGAAACTGTTAGCCAGATTTTTATGAAACTAGTGGTTATCATCAACGGGAGATGGAGATCAGAATGTATACTCAAGATGGGACCGACTCCTCCAGGGGCTCGAGTGGCCGACCCCTCCTGGGGCTTGAGTGGCCGACCCATCTAGGGGCTTGAGTGTCAGAGCCTTAAGGGGTCAAATTGGCTAAAAAGTCAACAATCGACTTCCTCAGACCCAGATATGCTAGAATCAAATCCTGTACATGGATGGAAAGGTCCAAAGGTATCAAAACTTCATTCCAGGTGACTGTAAAGGCCTATGGGCCTCTTGATCAGGATGTGGTCCAAATCAGATTTTAACCCCCCAGCCTTCGTCATGGAGAATCCTTCTCGTCCTATTATATCAAGAGATATTTTGATGAGAGGGGAATTTTCCATGAGCATACTTAAAGAGTTACCAACGTTCTTGTGTACCATTAACAGAGTTACCATTGTGTAACGCTCTCGTGTACTGTTGCCTTAAGGTAATAGGATTGTGTCGCCATTTCTCAGTAGAATTTCTTCTTATTTTGTAGTTGTATTGCTTTGAAGTAAAGAAAATTTTCTGCCACAAAAAAAGTATAGGTTGTCAGAATTTTAAGGATTTTAAATGGAAATTTATGTAAAAAGGAGTGAATTTTGTAAAAAAAAAATGAAACACAATTTTTTGCAATAAAATGGCAATAAACATGAAACTGACATAGATAGGTATTGCATTAATATATATCAATTTCATAAATGCTGCAATTGTGTAAAATGAATTATCTATAAACGATTAATAATTGACATTTTATAATAAAACCATGTACACATAGTAATTGCATGAAAGAGTTATCGTTATTGAAAAACTTCACAGTAGTGAAATAGGTAGCCGGTTTCCTGAAGTACAGAAAAATGGACACATGTGACTCATTGATTAAAAAACAACTGAATTAATGCCTAGATTGCTTTGAAATACTTTATATTGAAAGAACATATTGTTTTGTCATTAATAAACATACCATATTCATCTGTTTAATATTAAACATTAGAATATGCGGAAATTGTGATACTGTCTCCCTATATTGGGTTTTCACTAGGCATGTACTTCCTATTTCCATTTAGCAATACGCTCCTATGACCTTAAAGAATCCGTTGTATATGGGTTCTCTTTTCTGTCGTACTTTGTCATAATCAATCATGTCTGTGATTATAACCATTCATGAAATGTTTATTGGTGTTGGAAGTCAGTGGAACAGATATTTTATGTTACGGTAAGGCAGCATGGAAATATTCACGGAGTTGGCAGTCTGTATATGATTACTTTCAGGTAGCAGAATATTTGCATTTCCTTTATGTCCTCATAATCACTGGCCTGTGTTAGAACATGGACCCCTGATCTTTGACAAAACTCGGCATAAATTAGGTTACATTAATTAATCAGCCGAACACCGACTCATGTTGTCTACATAATTAACCAGATTTCTTCATACTTTTATATCTTGCATGGTGTCATTTGTAACAAGGGTTAAGGTCAATTCTCAAGGTCAAACCTGTTACCTGAAATCTAGTCTCGCTTTCCCCAGACTCTCTTGAGTGTGAAAATCTTGAGGAAGCTTCAATCCTGCACCCCTGAACATAAGGCTACTGCTCCTCAGCTGTGAAGGTGATACTGAATGATGTAAAGGTCATACTGAATGATGTAAAGGTCATACTGAATGATGTAAAGGTTATACTGAATGATGTAAAGGTCATACTGAATGATGTAAAGGTTATACTGAATGATGTAAAGGTCATACTGAATGATGTAAAGGTCATACAAATAACCTTGATAACAGCTAGCTGATAATTATGTCCAATATTCATTGAATTTTTACAAGATAACAATCTGGACTAAAACAAGTTACATAGAGTGTCATATTTCAGATATTATAGCCTGTCAAAAATAAGCATAAGTTATTGATACAAATTTGATGCTGAAAACTGCTATTTATATTTATTCCATCAACACTTTAGGTTCCATCATGCCCAGACCATATAGTGTAGGTTATAATTAATTCACAAAGTGTAATGACATCTCACTTGCACTACAATACATCAATTTTTTGTTCCAGACGATTAAGATGTCAAACAATACATTTAGCACAGAGAAAAACTAGTTTTCTTTTTATGCATGGGTATGATTATCTTCAGATAAAACAAATATCTGACTCTTGAAAATTGATTTCGATTTCTATTTAATCTTGTTACTTTTTTTCTTCTAAATATAATGTTTTTTTCTAAATATTATGTTTAACCTGAAGGTTGTAGATTAATTACTCACTCTATTGGATAAACTTTACAATCATTGCTGGGTAGACCTCCTTTACTTGTATCCTCTGACAAAATACATGTATAATTGATAAATTGTGACCATGAAAATAAATGTACCCTGTTAATACCTCCTGATCATTTCAGTGTTGTTTTACAGACCTTACATTTTAGTCAATAAATTTGTGACAACTAAGTCACTTGTAGGAAAATGCAGGATATAGATGAAATCTTCAGAGATAAAGTATATGTTTAGATATCATTGATCTATATAAACAAGAGGCCTATGGGCCTTAACGGTCACCTGATATATTTATACAGAGAGTTGATTTCGTTTTTAACATGAACAGAAATATTATTCAAAGTGACAAAAAACAATAAAACCACCTTATTCAATATCAAGCATACAGATTTCAGACTAAAAAGGATTTGAAACTAGCACCTCTGATTCTAAACAAGGAAAATGAAGAAATTTTAGCACACTGACTCCCTTGAGCCCCACCCTACAGCCCTTGGGGGTAGGGCTGGCTCAAAATTTTCAAAGTATCAAACTGTCAACTCAAGGTTATAATTCCAATCAAGTTATTAACATGTAATATTCAA